GATGTAGGGAAGACTTAACAATACTTAATTCACCCAGCACAAGCATTTCAGCAGCAAGTGTGAACTCTACAAAGCACATGTTGCATGGACAGGTGCTGCACATGTAATGAATGCTCAATATTTTACTGAAGCCTATTTTAATTGTGTAAACACTGTACACCAGTTAACTCGATAACAGGTCTTGCCAGATGTGTTAACTGTATGTAAAAACTGCATGATAGTAAAGGAATCCAAACACCAAGCACCATCCCATCCCTGCACAAGAAGAATATACTTCTGCCTGCCTAAATAGTGGGGTTTGACCAAAGCTTCAGATATCATCTGCATCTCCATGTTTCCGCCATACAGCCATTGCAAAAGGGCTTTGAATGATAAATAGCAAAAGACAAAGACAGTGGGCAGACTTATTTCTGATGTTTAAAAGATGCCAGGTAAAGTTGGAAACAAAGTTACTTTCCAATGACTTTTCAAAGCACACATCTGTGCTTTGAAACTGACTTGACTTCCTCCCTGTGTTCGGTACTCAAAGGTAGGGCAGGCACAGCTGCCAAGTAAAAAAACTCAGAAATATTCACTACTTTCTAATGGAACAAAACTAAATCTCAAATAACAAAATCAGGGGTAGCTTCCAGAGGAGGTAGTCTGCTAGCACCTGCTTGTGTTTTGGTATCTTGCAGCCAAAACAGCTTTCTGTTTCTGATAGCATTCTCTGATAAAGTAATCGAATTTGTTTTTTTTGTTTTTTTGGTTTTTTTTTAGTTTGATTTCTCTGCCACTGATTCAGCTGTTTTGGGAGAATGCTTTGTCAAAGAGCCCCAGTGAAGCAAATGTAATCTTCAACATAGTAACCAAACCTGGAACCAAGTTTCAAGGTCTCTCTCACTGAACCTGTAATGCTTACACCTTCAAGAAGAGTAACAGTGCACATAGACAGCTCATTGCAAACACAGCTATGCAAATAGCCATAAAACTGCCAGATACATGTCTGTGCAGTGTTTTGTAGTGCTTTATCTACACTGTTTGAAAGAATACATGAAGAGCAACCAGGTAAAATAAGATAAAATCGACTTCGAAAATAGTTTCAATGGTGTTAAAAACAGAGACAACTAAATTGGAGCTAGTGCTTATACTTCTACTTGAAAGAAATCAAAAATCATCATATTTTTCTGTTCTGATTAATTTGCATATTTATTTTGATTTGGACAAGGAAAGCTAAGTCAACAGTGCTATCTTCCTCCCTCACAAAGAAAAAGACCTAGCTGTGGTTACAACAGAACCTCTTACTTCAGACATAACTCCTTGATAGGTGTTAGGTAGAAAGTGTACCTGTGACAAACCTGCCAATAGCATTTTTTTCTGCCCACTGATAACTAGCCCAATTTCTTGGCAGACCAAGCAGAAGAAATCAGGGAAGAAACAGACTTTTCCACAAAGCCAGATTCTCCCCTGCTACAGTTAAGTCTCCCTGATAAAGGCAATTAGTAATGGGATAGAACACCAAATGGTCATCTTACCAATAAGCAGACTGCAAGAGCCAGCATGTAACTATACCATGAGGTGCCGTCAGTAAGAATGGCCTGTGAAGAGCTGGTGTTTCTGGACACTGGAAGCCTGCTGCTCTTGCAGTCATATTATCACCCAGCTTGAGGCTTTTAAAACCTTTCTGTCTGTTTTGTTTATTTTGTGTGATTTTGTTTTGTTTTCAGATCCTTACCACTGTATCTCCAAATATTCCTGTTATTCTATGATACCCCATTCTTCTTGGCAGACATCCTTGGGGATTTCCTAAAGGAGTCAATTATATCTATTCTCCCCAGTAAAAGTGGTAACATAACTAATGATGGGGATTTTTACTAACACCTGCACCTACTTTATCAGAGCATGGTACATTAAGATTATTCTGCAGAAAGAAAGAAATATTGACAGGTTTTTCAAAATCCAAAGCTCATTAATGTCCACTAAATTACATTTCATTGTGATACTGAGTTATTTGCTCTAATTGTAAAATAATGTTTTGGAAGAACTTCTGTTTCTCTAGAGTGAAATCAGTGAAAACTAAGAAAATCTGCTGAAAGTAATGTTTTCCTTTGTGGTAAGCAGCTTTTGAGTACTACTGAGCTGATTACACATTATGAGTACTAACAATTATCTTCCTGAATCTCTCAACATTTCTCTTTCTTCCTTTTGACTGTAGAAATCAGTAACATTGCGGTGCTTGCAAGGTCTACCTACTTGCTGAGAGGGTTTATTAATTTGGCATTTTGTCAATGACCATATCCATGTTTAATATGCCTGCAGCACACCTTTTTTAATATAATTACAAAAGGCATGATGCTGCCCTAAATTATTAAGTTTATGATTGTACAACTCACCCTTCCATGATTAACTTTGAAACTGGAAGAAGTCACTTTCAGCCACCATCACTGGACAGTGAAAATGTCCTTCCGCCAGAAACTGCATATGCAGGGCAAAAGGAAAACACTGCCTGAGATTTCAGCTCTAAAACATGCAGTTTTCAACTAAAAACCTTATTTTCTCCTATGGGTGCATTTTGAGTTCATGGAGAGGAGAAAAAACAATGAATTTGCAAAACCAGCCTTTTTGAGGACAGCCTTCTTTTCTCTTCTTTATCTCCTCACAATGTGGGGTTTATGAGCTGCAGGAAGGACTCCTTGCCTTGTCAGTCATGTGTTTGACAGTGTTACGTCTTGAGGTTTGTAAGAAATGCCAGCCTCTTCTGAAAGCAATGTGAAGGAATATTTTGGTGTTTGGTTATCTTTTTTACCTCACAGCCCAGTAGTAATAAGAGAATTAAACAAGTTAGTAGAGAGTGTGTTTTCCTTTAGACATGATTTTCATGCTTTTTGTGTGTTAAAATAACACACCCTCCTTAAACTTTCACACAATTCCAGTAGACATGAACTGTTTGTTTGTTTGTTTTTACTTTATGGATGTATCATTAGCACCAAAGCCCTGTCAGAATTCTTTTTCTACCACTAATGTATGGCTGTCCTGTAGTTGATAATAAGGCTCAATCTAGTATCTATACTGAACTGATTCTGCAATATCATTATTTACTCCAGCTGCTGTCAAAATTATCTTGCAGTCCTTTTAAGGCTTAAGTATAGCATCCATTGCTTGGGTATTTCTGCTGTATAATGCACATACCAGCATATATAGATTTAACTCTTCCTTTTGTTTATTTTTTAATTATAGAGGTCTGAAGTATCTTTATTTTCTCATTTTTATAGCACTCAGTTCTTGAATAACAAATGTATTAATAAAGAAAGAGAAAACAAATAAAATAAAATAAAAAATCCCAGAACTCTAGGAAATTACCTCACTGTATATAAATGCTCAGTTATTTAACCATAATAATGGTTAAATCAAGGAGCTCTTCACCATGACTGAAAGTGCACTCATATCTATTTATCTGAGCATAGAAATAGTAGCCAGTGTGAGTGAAAAAGAATAATTTGTCAGTAGGGTGGCTGATTCAATTACAGGAATATGCCATGCGTTGCAAATAAAATCACAAGCTTAACCTTTTCATAGACAACCTTCCCTGGCCAAGCCAGTTAGCCTTCTTCTGTTTGCTGCTGGCGGAAATTGCCTGCACTGTTTGGTACTGAAAACAGAGAGCTTTCTTGGTAGTATGGCTGAGTCGTTCTGAAGTGTTAGACCAATAAAGTAATTTCATTGTTTTGATAATATGTGCTAATTGTTTCAGATGAGATGCGGGTAAACAAGTGGGCAAGTGGGCAGCATGATTGTCAAAGAATTGGAAAGTAGACAATGGCAATATGGCGTGGAATTATGGTTACAAACTTCCCAAGAGACTGATCTTAGAGATCGCGTGTCTCTGGCCAAGGTACTCACGCTACGATGAGGAAATAGGTCGCTTTTGTGATACTTCACAGTGGAAGACTCAAGGGCACTTGCAAAACTCAGTGAGAAACATTGTGAAACGCATCTGAATGAAGTGAGGAGCTCTTACTTCCCCTGAGTCTTTGCACAAGACCGTGCACACTAACACCTGGGGAAGTTTTTGTACCTCCCATCGCAACAGAAGCAGTTTACTGATAGTAAACAGTGAGATTCGCAAAGAAATGGGTATTTTTTGGTCAGCCCGAAGCAGGCTGTGCTGCTCGGGAGCTGTCCGTGGTGCTGCCACCGCCCCCCGCACACCGCCTAGCCCCGCCCCGCCGCATTCTGACCCTCCTCGCTCCATCCGGCTTCGCCGGTCGCCGCCGCATCCCGCTGCTTCCAGCCCCGCCGAAGAAGCGTTTACCCGTCCCCTGTGGCGTTTGTTTGGAGGCAGGGTTCAAAGTCTCGACCTGTTGTATTTCATTGTAATAATGCTAATAGTAATAGTAATAATAATAGTAATAATAATAATAATCGTCATAAAATTTAAACAGCTGGAGGATGGAGACGTCGCAGTTGTGGCTTGTATCCCCTTGCTGACTCTCTGCGCTGCTGCCCATTACTAGTATCTGTACCAACTAAGAATCCCCAGAAGAGTCCGTAGGTCACCCTTGGAGACGGGGGAAGGAGGGTCACGGCCGCCCCTTGCCCTTCGGTACTGGCAGGTGTCCGGAGAGGGCGGGAGGGAGAAACAGCCCCAGGGCGAGCGCTCCCGCGTGCCGCTCCCGGCCTTAAACTCCACTCTCCTTAAGTAAAGCTTTTTGCTCCCTTGATTCTTTTTCTCCTACCCTTTCCCCCGGCCTCTTTCCCTCTAGAGGCAGCCTGGCACGGAATCAGACGCTGCTGCCCTCAAGAGAAGGACGGGGGAAATTAAAAATAAATAAACAAAAAAAAAAAGAAAAAATAAAGAGAACAAAGAAAATGGAGAGGCCGCCGCGCCACCGGAGCCCGGCCCTCAGAGGGCAGCGCGGGGTGCTCCGCCCCGCAGGGGCGAGGCTGTGGCCAGCGACTGCGTTGCTCTCCGCCGTGGCGACGGTGACATCTGCGCTCGGGCGAGGAGGGCCGGACCGGGGAGGAGCGGAGCGGAGTGGCACCAGCTGTGCGCAGAAAACAAGCTGCGGGTGACTTCGCCGAGTCCTCGCAGGTGGAGGCTACTCCGGCGGCGGCACTGAGTAGACATCTCCGGGCAGGGGCCGGGCCGTGCTCCCCGGGCTGCCGCGGGCCGCCGGAGGGGCGGAGCGGGGGCGTGGGTCCGGGCCTTCTCATGGGCAGGGCGCCCTCCGCGGGCCGGGACCACCTTCGGACAGCAGAGAGCTGCCCGCGCTGAGCGGCCGGAGCATGGAGTGGCGAACGGACAGCACGACGGCGGACGAGTTGGCCAACGCTGCCGCCCGCGGAGACCTGCAGCGCCTACGGGAGCTGCTGGACGGCGCGGCAGACCCCAACGCCGTCAACTCCTACGGCCGGACCCCCATCCAGGTAGGGAGGCCGGAGGACACGGGGCTTGCGGGAGGCGGGCCGGGGGCAGCGGTCCCTACGTGCCCGAGGAACGGCGGACCTGAGTAGCCTCCGGATTTGGCAGCCCCCCGACACCTGTATTTGGCTGCTGTCGAAGCGTCGCAGCTGTTCCCCTCGCCTTTGTGGAAAGGCGAAAGTCTGTGACGGCCGCAACAGAGAGGTTTTAATCTTAGCAATCCTCGACTTTATTTTAACCAACTGAGATAGGATGACTCAAACCCGAGAACTTCAATGCTCATCTCGCAATACAAGTGCAATAAGAAGTAACTAGTCAGCTTTTCAGAAAGAGTTACCCTTTCGTCATACCTAGTCTTCTGCTTTAAACATCTATTAGTATTTTATTTCATCTCTCATGAAAAAAAGGTATATTAACTAACTCTCACTAGATGTTCACTGACCCTTACAAACAGAATTATCCGGGTGCGATAGTCTTGCCCCGCAGACACTACAGGTAAACAACCAGCACTCCCTCCTTGTAGGGGACTGCCCGCATTTTACAGTCAAGTCAACATGTAGATAGATGTAGTGCTCGGAGGCGAAGTACACACTAGATTCATGAAGCTGAGTTGATTTCCGAGCTAGTTCTTCTACCCAGCTTCTTCTTAAATTTTCAAAATATAACGAAACTGGTATAACCTGCGCAGCTATATTTAAGTTTTACTGCCAGGGCTTGCGAAACTCTCTGCTACAAAATGTCGGTGCAGCATATCACTCGAAACACGTTCCTGATGCCGTCCTCTGGCATGTTTTTTTTCTACGCCTTAGCGCAGCAGGGATTTAGCTCCTGCGCTGGACTCTCTGCCAAGTGCACTGCGAGAGACTCAGTTTTAGAGAACGGCGAGCCCGGGGGACAGGGCTCCGGAACATTTTGATGCAGCACTGGGCAGGCGGCTCAGGCTAAGGGTACCCTCTGGGGCAGACCCTCAAAGGGGGCAGGTTCCCCCCACACGCTTGTCCCCTGGCGGAACACCTCCTGGAAGAGCTTCCAGGGCGAGGGTGGGACTGCGGCAACCCCTGGGAGCAGCTCCACCAGGACGGTTCCGCGGCTGCCCTTGCAGAGCAGCTCGGGACTCGCCTTCTGTTCCCGCAGTGGCCGCCGGCAGGACTGTCCCTCTGCCCCGCGCCTGCCACTCCCCCCGCAGGCTCTTGTCGCAGAGCAGCCGGGGTACAGGTCCGCACGCCCCGGCCTCGATGGGGCTTCCGTGTAGCTATGCCTCACCTATCCCCCTGCTAGGGAAGGAGTGTTTCCCCCGACTCCGCAACGCTCCCTCCTGGTCCGTGCTCACCGCCATTCACGTCTCCTCCGGAGCTGATCTGTAGGCCTCATCTGCGGGTTTCCCGCTCCTGTCCGTGGGCGATCCCGGCTCTTGGGAGGCTGAAGGAGAGAGAGTGAGCAGGGCTGAGGGGGACGCTAACTCTGTCTCTCCCCGCAGGTGATGATGCTGGGCAGCCCGCGGGTGGCGGAGCTGCTGCTGCAGCGCGGCGCCGACCCCAACCGCCCGGACCCGCGCACCGGCTGCTTCCCGGCGCACGACGCGGCCCGCGCCGGCTTCCTGGAGACGCTGGCGGCGCTACACAGAGCCGGGGCGCGCCTCGACCTGCCCGATGGCAGCGGCCGCCTCCCCCTCGACGTGGCGGCGGGGGGACCGCACGGACCGGTGGCCAGGTTCCTCCGCCACCCGCCGCCGCGCGCCTAACCGCCTCCTTTGCCGCCCCCTGCCCTAATTTATTGCTCGTGTCCGCCTCGGGAGATACAGAGTCTTGTAGCACCCACTTGCTGTAAATAACCCCCACATCGCACTTCCCCACGCATGAAGGACCGGCGGGACATGTCTTGTTTTGTACACTACATTTTGCACGTGTCTGTAATGTTATCCTGCACGAGAAATTCCACTGCCCTCCACGCCCTTCTTTCCTCACTCTGGAGTCCCAACACTGTGAAGAGAAGTAAATATGAAGGAACCCCACCGCACAAAGGTGTCACAATAAACCCTTCAACTCTTCCTGTTTTGACAGGGCCGCTTCTGGTCTTTCTGTTTACCCTCTTTCCCCGGGGTTTCCCTCTTCCACAACCCAGCCCTCCTTTTGAAGGGGACAGGAGAGGCTCCGGGCCCAAGCCAACAGCTCCCCGTTTGATTTCAGTCTTCAGTTATATCGGACTCAAGGGGCGCTGAAGCCAATCCCTGCCTCTCCCTAGCAAAACCGGCCGGGACAGTGGGGAGTTAAAACTTCCTGGCGTGATTGAGGCTTTGGCAAATACCTTCTTAAAACCACGTAAGATGCTCTGCATGTCTGTACATGGGCCCGTGGTGCATCCATGGCTTTTCCCATGAAGGTTGTAAACATCTGACATGGAAGGAGAAAATAGAATTGTGTCGCTGCAAGCTCGATGCCGCCCTCGCTCGAATAAATAGGTGTTTTACCATCTTGCAGGTGATTTTCCCAGAGATACTATAAGTTTCACCGTATTTTGAAGAAATCATAAAGGTTGCAAAACGAATGCAGTGTGGAACAAAAACCTAAAACTCGTACGTCCAAGTTCCACCTCAGGGTTTCCCAAGTTTCTCGAAGGTGGCGCGTTTGGTAACGAAACAAAAACCCCGTTGTAACAACAAGTGGTCGCGCTGGAGGAAGAAGGGGTGCGGCGGTAAAAATTGACCCATATGTTACAGACTGTCCCGGCACGAGGAAGTTGGAATTGGGCACCCCACGCCACAGCAGCTGCGCAGCCCAGCCACGGCCATACGGACACCCGCTTCGCTGACGCAGGTCCCAACCCCACTGCTGTGCTGCAGTAAGAACCCCGGCAGCAGCGAGCGCGGTTGGGAGACCCTGCCAGCCTGACCGGGCGCTCCCGGGGCTGCGCTTACCTGTCCTGCGCCTCAGGGACTGAGTGCCGGAGGAAGCAATGCGGGGCAGCGGGACAGCTCCGGTCTCGTTCTCCAGGGCAAATCCCGGGCACTTTGCAGAGCTATCTGCAGAAAGTTGACTGGAGTTAAATGTAATATATACACTTTTTATAATGTATTAGAACGTGTTATTTATTACAGCAACTTCACACTTGTTTTATGTTTAGTTTATATAGTGCTTTAGAATTGTTTTATAATTACTTCGTATAAATTAACGCACTATTTATACGTATGCCATTTGTCTATGTAATACGTCTATACCTATATAAAAATACACATAATATGCGCATATACAACACACTTTATTATTATGTATCGAGCCTAAGTATTTGCCTATAAATTTTTCTTCTATGTAATACTTTGATGTTTAATTATATGCATGTAAAATATCGAAAAATCACATTATGTTTAGTCCCTATTAATTTCTTTTTATTGTAGGTATGCTTAGGATATGTATTTCATACATATATTTAAATAGAATATATATAAAATTACACTCTGAGACGATAACACCTTATTAAATTGTACCGTATTCTTAGTACATGGCATAGCTATAATTGAGACAAGGACAACACTAGGAATGCAGCAGTCAAGCTCCTTCATCCCATGCCTGAGGGAACCGCGATGGAGCTGGGAGATGGGGCAAAGCTAGCATCTGATCATCTTTTTTACAGAACAGGTAAGGGTCTAATGAACTGTGTTTCCATCTTCAATTAGACCAGTATTCTTGTTTTAAAGGCTCGCTTTCTCGAAGAACCAGAATTTATTTAGAATTTTTACTATTTCCATTACAATTATGAAACAACAATAGTCATACTAAGAATGCATAATATTTTTAAGGGAAGTAACAGACTTCCCTAGGATAACTATACCAAATGAGCAAAATATGCCCTCAAAACCCAGCAGGAGTAAATGACTAATTGCTATAAATCCAGTTCACACCATAGTACCAGAGGCCCTGCCAGGGACAGGATCTCACTGGGGGCTACTCACCCCATGGGAGGACAGGGGGCCCCGACGCTGTCCTGCTTCTATGAGCAGCTTTTCTGCTGTCAGCAGCATCTGCTTCAGGGCTTGGAGTCCTCCCTGAAAAGTGTAACAGTAATTGTTAGTAATTGTTAAACAGCAGCAACATACATTTCGGAAAAGCCCTAAAAGAGCTACTTTTAAAGTGGCAGATAACTGACGCTTTTGATTTTAAATCGCAGGTGTAATTGAGCATATATGCGCGCAAACACGCAACACACAACCCTCTGCAGCAACGTGTCGACCTATGATCGACGAGATGTTCCTCGGGCCCGGGTCGGCCATGCATTCAGCTTTGGTAGGTATTTTGACTTCTATTACCAAATCTGTCAGTTCTTCCTCCCACAGCCACTCCAGCACCTGCATCATGCGGCCAAGCAGGTATTAATTCATCTCCATTTGCCTCCCTCTGTCGGGGAGGAGTCGCTACGGGAAGGGAAAAGGGGAAAAAAAACCAAACTTCTCGTAGATCAGCTTTAATTTCGAAACGCCTGTTTAGACTGACACATCTCCCAGGCTGGAAACAGGACTACTCGGTCCAGGAGCAACTATTACAGGCTCTTCTTTTATTAGCATTGTTGTTAGGGTTACTGCGCGCCCAGGCCAGAAGAAGGCAATTTCTGTTGACATCTGTGCTGTTGTCGTTTGTCCAGACAGGAGTAGGTGCTTGCTGGGCCGGGGGGGGATGGGGGGGACGGACACGGAGGGGCGGAGGCTGTGCTGCATACCCCTATACCCGCCAGCCCTCCCGGGGACCGCCGCCGTGCCTGCCCTCACGGCAGCCTTCCCCGCCGGTCCCTCGCAGTCCCTCCAAACCCCCGGCTTCGAGCCAAGACGCATCCAGTTGTGCCAGGCTTGCCAGGCCATGCCGGGCCGCACAAGGCCCTTCCTCACTCGCGGAGAGGGAAGATGCCCCCGCAGGACAGATCCCCGCCCGCCGATCACCCTTACCTTCTCCTCGCATGGAAGTATCCGCACCCTGGGAGGTGGATGCGCAGGCAGGCGGCTGCCCGGGAGGAGGGCGAGACTGGGGTAGAGGGCCTCGCTCAGCTCCTGGGCTGCGGCGAGGGTCAGCATCGGCTGCGGGGCGAGGGAGGGCTCAGCACCCCTTCTGCGGCAGCGCCTGGAGCGGGCCAGGAGGGGAGCGCCTGCAGGTTGCTCGGATCTTTTGAGCTCTTCTCCTCTGCTTCCCCTGGCCCGCTCTAAACTCTCCAAATCGAAAACAAAGCGGTGCGGCAGCGCGGGTCAGGGCCGGGGAGAAGGTGAGGGGAGAGGAAACAGTTAATACCCGTTTCGGTTACCGGCCGGGGGGCAGACGAGATCCGCTTTTTTTTTGCTTTTTTTGCTTTCCTTTTTTTTTTTTTTTTTTTTTTTTCTCTACGCAACGGCCCCGCGTAGCGTTCAAATGACCATGTGACAAGGAAATAGCTGCTCTCCCGGGCCAATACTGGCCTGCGCTTTTAAAGCGGCAGGAATCCGCTAGCCGCCCCTCCGGGTCTCTAGCGCTGCCCCCGGGGTGGAACGGGCGAGGGTCGGGGTGAGCGGGGCAGCCGCAGTGCCCGGCAGCGGAGTCCAAACACAACCAAACAACACGAAAAAAACCCAAAATATTTCCTCACCCTCTCCCCACCCCTTCCCTCAGCGGAGCGGGAGGCGGCCTGTTTGGAGGGGACTGACGGGGGGGGGAGGGCAAGGACATGTAGTCAAGGCTTTATTTGAAAGCGGGGGAGCGCCCTGCGATTGGCCGTGCCCCACGAGTGTTCGGTGCTGATGCTCCTCGGGGAGGGAAGAGGAGCCAGCGGCCTCCCCCCTCCCCATCCCCTGCCGCCTTCGCCCGCTTTCGAGGGAGCCATCATCATGGAAGGCGTTGAAGCTCATAGGAGGAGGAGCTGGGGCGGAGGGGGGGGGGGGGGGGAAGGGGGAGGTAAGGCGATATTGCTAGTCGGAATTAGTCAAACAGAAAAGAGGGGGGGGAAAGAAAAAAAAAAGAAAAGAAAGAAAATCTTCTCCAATGAATCTCCGATTCACCGGCGGGGCCCCGCCGCCGAGGTATTTAGAGCGCAGCCCGCCGGGGGCTCCCCGGCTACCATGACCCGCCGGATAAGGTGCACTGTCCGCTTTCGGCTCGCCCGCAGCCCCTGCCGGGCCCAGGCTCTGTGCTGCCGCATCCTTCGTGGTGGCGGAGGGGCTGCGGCGCGGCGCTGGCTGGCCCGGCGGCTGGCCCGGTTGCTGGCCCGGTTGCTGGCCCAGTGGAGACGGTGCCGCGGGAGCCTCAGACAAGGTAGGGCCCCGACGAGCGGAGCTAAGCAGAGAGCGGGGGGGTGGGGGGGGGGGGTGGTGGGGGCGGGGGCCCCGATGGTCGCGGGCGGCTCGAAGGGGCGGTGGGAGCTGGAGGCCGTGGAGGCCGCCCCGGGGTGAGCGATGCCTGCCCGGAGTCCCCTGCGCCCCACATGCCCACGCTGCACAGGGAACAATTGAGGTGCTCCATAGGCATGGGGATTATTCTTTCTTTTCCTCCTTTATTTTTCCTGTCTCTATTTTTTTTTTTTTAACGCAATAGAAACCGGAAGGTTCTTGAAAAGTTTCTCCAACTTATTTCTGCCCCTACCCCCCCCCCCCCCCCCCCGAGAAGTTCTTTTTTTTCTTTTTGTTTTCTCTGTGGCTAACTTAGAAAAAATAAACCCACCACCCCTTACCAACATTTGCAGGAGGTTCCTTCTGACCAAGGAACGTAACTATTTCTTTGAAGACAGAAAATGGCCACGGTGTTCTATGTATGTAACCCTATACACTGTTGTAAATAACAGTGAAATAAAGTGGCCTCTTTGCCGTCGCCTGCTGTTACATAAATATGCACAGTAAGGTCAGAGTCAGAAAAAGTAATTTAAATACCCACGTATAAAGGACAGTCATAGACACCCGTTTTTAAAACGCCTCCGAATTTTTTTAGAGACTTTTTTCCTAACTGCAGAATGCAAAATGGAGTGGTTGAGGATCTGCACGGTGCAGTTTAGGCCTCATTCATTACATATAATTTGATGCATAAAGAAAATATAAATATAATATTAATTTTTATGAGTATTTGAGGATTGTTCTGCAAAATCCTCTGAGGGGGTCTTTAGAGGAGCCCTCTCGTAATCCAGAGCACAGACTGGAGAGGAGCACACAAAGAAGAGAAGGAATGTAGAAATATTTGCCTAAAAATAACTACAAAACTAGAATATATGATTTTGTATCTGTAAAACTGAAACCTTTCAAGCCATAGGACTTGGGGTCTGGAGATAAAGCAATTCACAGTTTGCCTGCTTCAGTTTCTGGTTAGATCACTTTCAGCACTTCTTGAATATCAAGTGTGGGGAGATACACTTGCACACACACATGTCTGTGTCTGTATATGTATATATAAAAACAGAAATAATATCGAGTTTTCCTTGTTGCCTTCAATCCCTCGTTTCTTGCACTTCTTTTTTTTTAGTAGGCCTAATTTCTTCATGTTACACTAAATGGGGGGAAAAGAAACCATAAGCTCCGCCTGACCTGAAATGCGTGAATCTCGAAAATGAAACATAAATATGAAGGTGCTGAGTATTTCCAAGTAAATTCGCTGTAGCAAGGAGAAAACCCTCTCATGGATCAGGCATTGTGGCAATTTTTTTCTGCTCTCTGTTTCCAACTTGCCACTTGCTGTAAATACTGCCTTTTTTTTTTTCCTTTTTCTTTTTCCACACTTTTTGTTTTTCCTTTTTTCCCCAAACTTTTCATCAGGTGTACCTATTTCTTCTAAATGCCAGTTAGGTCTAAAATAATCACTGAAATGTGCTGAAAATCTGACGCTGAAGAGGCTGTGGGGGGAGGGGGGGGTGTAAAACAAGAGTGTGTGTTTAATCTAAACAAATACGAGGTTTTTTCCTTTTGCCTAACTACTCCTTCCTACTAATAGGCTGTAACAGCAATTAGGGTCACAAAAGTGATTCATAAATGTTTTCGCAGCTCGGAGACAGTGAACCCCGAATTTACAGTATTTAGGGCCACAGTTTACAGGAAGAGGAAGGCTTCTTATTCGAATTAGGTGTAAATCTAGTCCGAGGGGAGAAAAATACTTTTGAAAATAAAGAGAAAACTGGTCTTTTTTTCCTTATTGTCTGTTTAGGGAGACGGGTCCTATTCTCAAGCTTTGTCCGAAATTAAATTGTTTAATTAAATAGATGGAACAAATAACATTTTAACACTCCTCAAGCTGTGTGTGAGAGAGAAATTCTTTAATTCAGGGTCCACGAAGCTGCTTCTGAACCACGAGAGGGTCCGAGGCAGGCACCGACAGCCAAAAACTGGTTTATAGAGGCAATCCTACAACCGCTCACCCTGGCAGAGCACTGGCCACGTCGTGACATTGTTTTCTTGCTCTTGCAACCTCTAAAACTGTTTAGTTCTTAGGGTGATGTGAGAACGCTTATTTGTTTTGCCTTTTGTGTGTTTATTACTTGTCTTCGCTTTGCTATTTGGTTTAGATTTGTTGTTTGTTCTGCTGTTTTTCTTTTTCAAGAAGGGAATATTTTGCCTGGCGAATGCCTACCTTTTGTGAACTTTTATGTTATTATCCGGAGCTATTATGTCGTTTTACTTCCCGATAACTCCATAGTTCAAAACGAGGGACCGGAATAATACACATCTGAAATTTTCTAGAGGGTTTGTACCAAAAATAGAAAAATATCGAGGGCTATATTCACAGATGTTTTTAGGGCAGCATATTACATTCAGGAAAGCACTCTGCTGAAGTTTGTATCACACGACTTGGGAAACAGAAACCGATGTAATTTTTCTTCACTGTTGATTGTTGTAAGTCGTTGATTTTTTTTTTTTTTCGATGGGGGTGTGTTTATTTTTTCTTTTACTTTCTTGTCTTTTTCTTTTTTATATATATTTTTTTTCCTTTTCTCTCTCTCCCCTCCCTTCTCCCTCCATTTTTATGCTCAAAAGAAACATTTATGACACAATTTTCAAAGGTCTAAAATTAGGGTGCTAGATTTTTCTGTGCTTACCCAATATGTGGAAGCAAGATAATTATTTTTGCAACACATACTGATATTTTAAACTGAAGAGTAGAAGGATACCGTTGAACTAGTTCTACTAATCTTTTTTACTTCATTTTTAGAGTAACTCCTATCAACTGTCCCTCTCCTTAACTGTAAATCAGGTTACTTGCATCGAACCTCTCCGTCGCACCCCCCACCCATGCCACTCGTGAGCCTTTTTTGTTTATTTACAGGCGAGAGAATGCCAATCTTATGTTCTCTATAGTTTGTCTCTTTGTAGTACTTAATGAACCCCTAAACTTCTTACCAAAATACTTGTTAGGTGATAAAATAACTCAGATAAATGTATATTTTTAAAACACCTTTTTCTGTTTTGTTGTTTTGGTTTTTTTTTTGTCGTCGTCCCGTCCCGTCCGTCCCCCCCCACCCCCCACCCCCCCCCGGCATTTTAAGGCTGGTACTTGCTAAATCTTAAACAGGACATAAAATGGACGCTTCTGGTAGCTGAAAATTACCTTTTCCGTCCTGTATACTATTATCAAAGCATCTCAGAACATTTGCAAGATTAAAATGTATCTGTCAAAGTGACTTTAAAAGTAAGTAAGAGAAGAAATTTAGGATAGGGACTGCTTAACTAGGGTCGAGATTTTTTATTTTCTTTTTTCTTTTTTTTTTTCTTTTTTTTTTTGTTGTTTTGGTGGGGTGGGGAGGGGGAGAAATATATGTTGTGGAGAGAAGGTGGGTTTTATTCCTTACCCCTAAAATATAAGTGTAATACAAGGGTCATTTTCAGAATGCATTTGCACAGGCTGTGTTATTATTTACCTAACTTCAGATATGACCGTGTGTTTTTGTGTTTCGATTAATTTGAGGACGTTTTTTGGTACTAGAATTCTGCAAAACAGGACTTGCTTTTCTTTTTTTGGGGGGGGAGGGAGGAAAATTGGTACGGCTTTAATAATATAAGTTAAAATCGCGTCTTTTTAATGGCTCAGGAGCTTGACGAGTGATTTGGGGGGTCAGTAAACGTTAGCACAGGACTGTATGTGGTTTTAAATGCCATTCTACAATTTCGTAGCTTTTAATAGACTTTAGCCGGGCCGGAGATATAGGCAGGCCTTCTGGCACCTCGTTAGAAACGTCTTCACTTACAAATATATATACCTATGAGTGTATACTTTTTTTTATATCAATATACTCACAGAAAAATACGAATGCATATCTTTATACACACACGCACAGAAGAATAAAATCCACTATCAATACCATTTAACAGAAAGCAGGATCAGCCAGCAATAATATGCAACCCTGCTGCACCACAGTATCGATCTGAAATTTTAAGACACCTGACAGACATAACCGAGGAGGCTTTCTCCTTGGTTTTATCTCCACATGGCTATCATCAATAGCAGAGAGCATATGACAAACAGAAGGACATTTCGCCTCCTGGAGGGAGGATCCTCTCAGTTTCTCAGACTTTACGGGCTTTTTCAAAATCCACTTTTAAACATTATTTATGGAATTATATATATATATAAGATCGCATATACATATATATAGTGTGTATATATACTATAAATATATACAAACAGCCCACCAGCACTGAGGTGAGCACTGCACCAAGTGCTACAGCAGAACCACGACCCACTGGAGTCCACCGCAGGTCCCTGCAGAGGCCCCAGCCCCTTTCAAGTGTCTCGCTCTGCTCTTGCAACGCTCCTCTGCTCAGAAACTTCGCAAAGGAGGCTGAGAAAACCCCAAAACAAGGAAGTTTCAGTGGAGCTGTGACTTGCCTGCACGGGGATAAATCTGCTCCTCATGCCTCTGCCTCTTGACCGCTGCTACATATAGATGCTACATATAGGTACAAAATAGACGGTTTACCTTTTTTCTGTAGGCAGGGGTGTTCTTGAGCCCGAGGCTAACCCCGAAGGGAACGAATTTGCGTTTGACTGGCAGGTACTGCATCTGTGGCAATGACACCGGTTCCTGCAATTAAAACGGGAGATTAGGGAAGTGACATTGAGAAGAAAAAAAAAAAAAAGGGAGGGGGGAACAGGAAAAAAAAAAAAGAGAGAAAACAAACCCGAAACCTGAAAAACTTCCTTCATGTATTTCCTGCATTTGCCCACCCCACTGCTCCGAGGCGGTGGGGAGGGAGGATGTCCCCGCTACCTTCGACGGGGTGGGGAGGCTGTGGAGGGGGCGGAGGGGCGCCCCTGGGGCTCGCAGAGCAGAGCCTCTTTGTCCAGCAGGTATGAGTGGAAGGGCGGAAAGCAGGGGGAGGAGTAAGGTGCTTTTTTTCGGGGGGGGGGACGGACCTTCCCAGCGGCAAGGGGAGGCTCTGCCCAGCCTCTGGCTGCCGGGCTGGAGCTGTATCTTACCCCTGCTGGGTCTCGCAGCGGTTTTCTGCCCGCGAGAGGGTCCCGCAGGGCCGGGACGAGGCTATCCTCTTCTACCGGGTGCCGTTAGGTGGATAGCAGACTTCCTGCGGGCACGGCTCTCTTCCTTATCCGGGCCGCCGGCTCCCGGCCGGCGGTGGGACCGAGGGACGGACCTCAAGCCCACCGTTCTGAGGGGCTCGGGGCAGGTCAGGGGGAGGAAGAAGCCATAACACAAGTGTGGCTCTTTGCCCCAAGGAAAGCTCTGATCCCGTGTCATCCCCTCTCGTCCGCCCTACGCAAGACAACCGAGAGGCGAGTCCCACCTGCCCGGGCCGGGGCAGCTGCGGCCAGCCCGGAGAAGCCGTTTGCCTGTGGGGCTGAGCCCCCCGCCCCTGCCCTCACCGTATCCCCCAAAGAGGGGGAGGTTGGCGCGCAGCCCCCATCCCCCGCCTCCTTCCCCACTGAAGGCAGCTCCTGGGGCGGGCAGCCCCCGAGAGAACCGCTGCACGCTGTCGGGGGGGGGGGAGGGGGTGTGACACCGCAGTTCCCCGAAGAGGTCCCGAGCTGCTGTCGGCTCGCAGCTTACGGAGCAGGCGCCGTGGGGGCCGAGGGGCCTCCTCTGGGGGCGGCTGCTGGGGAGGAGCATCTTGCCGGGAGGGCGAGGACCCGGCCGGAGGAGACGGGCAGGCAGAAGCGGCTGTGCGAGTCGGGCCGACGGGTAGATGGAGGCGTCCCGCCGGGGCGACTGCTCCGGCGACCGGCTGTGCACCGCCGCCGCCCGCGGGGACAGCGAGGAGGTGCGGAAGCTCCTGGACGCGGGCGCGGATCCCAACGCGACCAACTCTTTTGGAAGGACCCCGCTCCAGGTACGGAGCACCCCTGGCTGGGGGCTGTTCTCTGCCGCGTTGGGGGAGGGGAGGTGGTACTGTTTGTGTGTGTCAGTTTCGGGTTTTGGATAAATTCTTATTGTTATTATCGAATCGGACTCAGCGGCAGCTGACTGAATAATGAGGACGCTTGCCTGAATCCTCGCCCTCCTGCAAGTACCGGATAGAGCTCAGAGTGGCACCTCTGTCAGCAAACGAATTATGCTAGTGGGTACTCAAAATGATTAGTGGGGCTGCAAAATCTGTTTTCAGATGGGTTCGGGGATCTGACTGTGCTTCTATCGACTTTTCTTGTTTGTTTGTTGTAAATATGGCCTTAATAGATCTTTTCCTCCCGAGAAAATCGAAGTGGTTCTCTTTACTAGTATATTCATGTGAAAGAATGGCACAGAAGATGGCATAGAAATTGTCACTTAGTAATTTGAAAATAAAAAAGGTATATATTACTAGTCACTATTATTAGTAGTATTTTTTATATTCACTATTCATCAGTAGTGGTTGTATTCACTGATAGATAGATATTCTAAGTACCAGTGTGTAGAGGAGTTGCTTTCCAGGCATTTTGAGAGCTGGAAGTGTGTTGTATTAATCGACATGTTTAAGATTAAACTTTTCAAATGCTAATTGAACGATCAGTGTACTTTAATTTAAACTGAAGTTGTGCATTTCATTAAAAGGCTTTCTCGAGTTGTCATTTGAAGTGATGTATTTAATGATTCACCAGCTACACTAACAGCCATTTTGCTCCTTGCACTTTACATGGGAAATGAACTGTTTTTCTGAAGTGAGTTACTGAGAAAGGTACTGAGAAAGCTACTCGTTTTGTTTCTATTGTTCCAGATGAAAAGGAATTGTTATTTCCAAACTCTTCTTTTTGCAGATTTTTAATTTCCTCCCCTCATTTCAGAATGAGATTAAGTTCTGTTTTTCTTAGCAACACGTCACAAAATGGCTGCCACTATGACTTGTGGGCTCTTTTTTTCTGAAAAAAAACCAAAAAACTTAACTTCCACAGGAATTTATAAATTATGAAATTTATAAGCATTTTTGTTATTCTATGATATTAAAAAAAAAAAGGGACAAATATTTGTAGTCCATAATCAAATTCTCTCGACGAAAAAAAAAGAGAAAACCTATTATCTCAAGATAATTTCTACACTATTAAGATCCAATTTATGGGGGTTAAAATTCCGTTAAAAATGAATAGGAGAATGCGGGAAGTAAAACTCCAACTGTCTTTGTTGGTGGTGGTGTTGTTGTTGTTGCTGTTATTTGCTTGCTTGCCCTTTTTGCCTATGTTCAATTTTGCATGATCAGAGCTTGCTTTTCGTTCAGCTGCAGAGTCGTATCAGGGTTCAGCAGGAAAGTTCTATGTTACTCATGGCCTCTCAAAAGCTTTCCTCCCTCCTCCGAGCCACAACAAAATTTAGCCAGAGCTGAGCGAAGGACAAACGGCTCAAGCCAGAACTCAGGAGGCAGCAAATCTACACCGAGCACCGAAAAGAGCCAAGGGCCAGTACAGCCAGTGCTTTGCCCTGCCAGTCTGGCTGAGCAGTTCAGTGGTAAAATCAGGGACACATCCCAGGTAGCAGGAGGTTTAACACAAGGCGTCTCAGGACTGCCACAGGATACATAGTGTGCATACATATATATGTGTAGTGTGTGTACACATATATAAAAGCATGTACACACTCACTATTTATGGTATAATAAACGGTACTTTGTATAAATGGCGTATATATTGTGTAAATATATATGTATACACACAATATATGTATACACACAATATACCTATTGTGTACTAGTATGTACACAAGTATTCCTGTGTATATATGTGCGTACATACATATATGTGTGTATATATACATACACGCCACAAACACCATGCCATAATAAACGTATAAGAGCACATACCATGGCATAATAAACGGTCTAAAGCGTGGCACAGAACATACACATATGCAGTACCCAGTCTGGAAACCACAGCCCTTGCAGCTAATTTTAATTATCAGTAACACAGTATCTCACGTTATTATTATCAATAACACAGTATCTCACGTTGAAAGGAGCCCACAGGGATCACCGAGTACAGCCGTGTGAATTTATGCAGGTCGCAGCTACCGGTAGCACACACAGGAGTTTCTCGCACAGAAGCCCCCTCCCAGCCCCCTCCCGCCGCCGCCCCGCTCTCTGCGGCTCTCCGCGGGGCTGAGGGGGACGCTAACTCTGTCTCTCCCCGCAGGTGATGATGCTGGGCAGCCCGCGGGTGGCGGAGCTGCTGCTGCAGCGCGGCGCCGACCCCAACCGCCCGGACCCGCGCACCGGCTGCTTCCCGGCGCACGACGCGGCCCGCGCCGGCTTCCTGGAGACGCTGGCGGCGCTACACAGAGCCGGGGCGCGCCTCGACCTGCCCGATGGCAGCGGCCGCCTCCCCCTCGACGTGGCGGCGGGGGGACCGCACGGACCGGTGGCCAGGTTCCTCCGCCACCCGCCACCCCTTCCCGCAGCCGCCCAGGTAGCCGAGCTGGCCGCGGAAGGGGCTAAGCGCTGACCCGACCCCCGCGTCCCACCCCGCAGCGGCTGGCAGCATTCCCTGCCTCTCTCCCTTCGATCGCCGAGACCCTCTCCGCTTCCCCGTCTCCGCGGCAGGTCCCTTCGTCCCGCCGACCTGGCCCGCAGCGAGCGCCCACGGCTGGCGGTGCTCCCGGGACCCCGGCCGCTGGGGAAGGTGTTTCACTGTCCCTCTGCCCCAGAGCTCTCCCCGCTGATCCCCGGGCACTCCGTGTCCCTTTTCTGCGAGCTACGCATACTGATGCATTTTCTAAGAAAAAGCTTAAAGAATCAAAACTCTTCTGCGGGGAGCGCGTTGTCTTCTCCGTCCCCTCCTGCTCTCTGGCGGGAGGAGGACAGATAGAGAGCTGTTCCCCCGTGCTCCAAGGGTAAAAAAGTTACGTCCCCTCCTTCCTCATTTAATGATTGCTCATAATGATGATTCCTCAAAACTGATGCGGTTTAGAGAAGTGAGAACGCTCCATTTTCCTCAGCGACTCGCTAAGCGCCCTTCAAGCCCCTGGTTTGATTTCCGTTAGATACTTGTCTTATTCATGTCGGTACTGACCTTATTCAGTGCCGCACGATCCTTCCTCATGAGGATTCTTCCTCATAGCGTTCCGAAAAAGTGAACACCGTAGCCATCCCGTTTATAAATGTAATTAATGTTCGAATCTTCTCCTCTCGTCACCCCGCTTAACTTAGAAAGTCTTAAAACATCTAACAATGATTGAAATTACAATTTGGGAACTACTACAAATATTTGTTATAGATGTATTCAGGGAAGGCTACCCATGTAAGAAAACCAATTGTTTATCCTTCAGCTACTGTGTAGTTCTAACATTTGGAGACACCCCATTGATTCAGAAGATACGCGCAACGAGCTCGGTATTTTTAAGGAGGCTTTCCGGGTCTCTAAACCAGATATTTGGAAACAAATGGCCGAGCTTAGTTATAAGTTTGACTCTCTTCACACCCATTGCTTCTGTTTTTCCTAAGCGATTTCAATCGTCTACTCAATGTTTGTACCACTTCTGGCGTGGTAAAATGCCTGTTACTCTTCAGCAGAAAATAGGAAAGGGCTTGCTTAAAAAATCCCGAATCTTTGTGTTTAACTATTAAACGGTTCTGTACACAGCGCTACTCAGTGTGGGACGGTGTTACTTATTTCGACTTTGTACGTCTCCAAAATTTTTTGTGTCTGTGCATAAACACATACACATACAACAGCTTTGCGGAGGACGAATACACAGGGCTTGTACGCAGGTGTGTATTATTTACACACATACACAATCAAGTTAAAACCACCTATGAAACTCGTCAATTTCCTTATTTAAAACAGCTCTTACGGATCAGCAGGAAAGCTCAACCGCCTTTGCATGACTTTACCATATGTTTTAAAAGCGAAATGTATTTTTCCCGCTTATAAAAACGATGGCAAACCCACGTTGTAGAACGAGGCATGACGGGCGCATATTGGGTCTCCCCTGCGGGTATTTTTTTCCCCCTATTCCAGCAGATACACTGGTATTTTTGTTGTGCGTTCTCAGGAGCCTGCGCTTTGCTCAGGGCACACATTCGAAAAACGGAAGAAGCGATGAGCCGTCGTTTCGCCTCTAGTTTACCAAGGATCGGCTTTATGCTACTCTTTTACTTAATGGGGGGGGGGAAAATCACTCTCTTCCCCCCCCCCCAAAAAAATGGTTATTTCCTAGCTCTCTGGGGGCAAAGTCGAGAACGATCCTGCACCAGACGGCGGGAAAGGGGTCAGCAAATCGGTTTGGGGAGGGGGGCAAAGGTGATTGTCTTTTTCTTCCCCTCTCCTCCCTCGGCCGAGGAGCCCCGCTTAGCCTGGCAATACTTGAGCCCGAGGGCAGGGGTGGACGGTCCCAAGCGCCCAAGCTGCCGGCACGGCTCCCTGCTCCTCGCGCCCCGCCGGCTGCCCGCCAGAAGGAGCTCGTTCCTAGGGGAGTCCCTTCGTGCCCTTCGTGGCTCAAAGGAGGTGGAGGGTAGGGGAGCCCGCGGGGTTTCCACGCAGCCTCCCTGCCTCTCACGGTGAAGCCCTGCCGGAAAGTTGCGACCTTCCCTGGAGCTTTTGCCTCGGAGCTGCCGAAGCCCCGAATTTCCTTGAGAGGTCACCTGAAGAGAAGACAATGAAGAGGTTTTGGGAGGGAGTTACGGATGGTGACTTTGGGGTTGGTGTAAGTGCAGTAAGAGCCTGAACGGACAAGGCACTCATCGGGCTGAGCAGCTCTCCTTTAACCGCTGCTGCCGCGCGCACGGAAGGAAACGAAAAATTCAGGCTCCTTTAGGAAAGTACAGAAAAATGTTTTCCCTCCAAGCGTCCAACCTAATCTCTGGGAAAAGATACCCATGATTTTTGGTTTTGTCTCTAAAAAAATGTCTGTTAAAAGGTGCGTTCGTCACACTGACGTAGCAGCTTTATGCGGCTTTCTGTTCTGACATAAGTGTTCGCTCTTTGGACAAGGAGCCAGGAGCACTAAGTGTTACAAAGCACACTTGCGCGTGAACGCCAGCATCTAAATAATTTGGCTAGGAATTTTCCACTGTGGTGTCCTCTGACACGTTTTTATATCTAAGGAAAACACCTTCAGGTGTAATGACACTTAGAAAAATAACGTGTTTTCTACGACAGGAAAATAAAGTTTTTTTCTACGACACATTCTGGAAATATACTCTTTGAGAACATGACTCTTAAGTTTTACAACAGGCATAATCCCCTTTAAATTCCCCTAAATTTATTGTGTTAAAGGGTCTATAGGCTTTAGACAGTGTGTTCACAGTCTCTGAAGGCTTCACAGAAGTGAAAAGCAGAAAGCATTTTAAAAAAGAAAGTCATCACCCGATCTTGCCTTACCCAAAGGGGTAGAAATACATAAACCTCACTGCTTCACTACCACATAAAATAAACCTCAAGCAACTGTGAGCCTCAGGAGGAAAATGGAAGTGCTGAGAGCCCTCGTAGAAGAAAGTGAGGAATTTGAAGATGGAACAGGTAAACCAGAGGACCTGCTGCTGGACACAGGACCTCTGAAGGCATTCATACCTTACAAGAGATCTGGTGGGGCAACCACTCCCAGCAGTAGAGATGAGGGATCTTATAGCTAGTGGCTCTAGGTCATTATTATTTTAATGGTTTTTTTTTAATCAGGTGTCAATCAATCCCAATCTGACACTCAGTGAAATAATTCGCCATTTCTTCCCCCCCCCCCCCTTTCTTTTTCTGTTTCTCTCATTCAAAAGCTACTTCCCATAAAGCACTAATTCATAAACCACAGAGTCTAAGGTCAAATTAAGAGATTTCCATGAGATCAAAGGTCTTCCTTGTGTTAGGAAAACCGTACTGTAGGAAAACAAACACTTGGACAGACTTCATGAGTCCTGTAAGACACATTTCACTTACAACAGGCTTTATTCTTGATTCCATATGTTGCTAAATCTGGGGCTCTAACATCATGCCCAAACATCTTTTTCTTTTCTTCCCCCCCCCCCTTTTCAAGGGGTACATAGAAAACACTGTTTTAACTCGTATTATTCCCTGAAGCAATGCTCTTCAACACTGTGGACATCAAGATACTCTACAAATTTGTATCATCCATATATTTTCTACAGCTGTATAAAAACACAAAAGCTTTTACGATTTACGAATGCACTTCATTTGCATAAGTGCTCCTTCTTTGGTTGTTTTCAGGGAATGTTTAAGCAGTTCTGTTTGCTGGTAGTAAGGCAAACTGCTTCACCACACGTCAAGATAAATAATTTCATGCTTAATAACGTGCAGAAAAAACCACACCTGATTCCAAGAAGAACGCCTGCCTTAAGGCAGGACATTTGAAAGTACCTAGTGGCGTATGCATCAAAAAAAAATAACATCCTGCAAGCAGACTAGTTCAGCGATCTGGTTCACAAAAATCAGATGCAGAACTTTCATGCCACATTTTCACATTTCACATTTCATGTCAGCCAACGACAGTTTCTAGAAAATCACAGTCTACATAGCCATGGGAAAAACAGATTATGTCAATTAAAAAAAAACCAAACAAACAGATATTTCTGGATCCCACTCAGATTTATTCCACTTGAATTTGAAATATTCTGTGTCCTGGTATTGCTACTGAGACCATAAGGCATTTATCTTGCTCTCTCCTGAGTAGAAGACTGAGTCAGGAGATTCACAGTGTCATTCACACCTGCCTAAGTTTTCTGGAATCATGTTATATATTTAGTGGTAGTAACAAAGCAATTATGCTATTTCTTACTGCTTAGTTTGATGAAAATAGAATTGAAAGGCATGAGAAAATTCAGATAGAGAGTTAAGTGTGGACCTTTTTATCTACACAGAATATTTTTACTCTCTTTCAATAAAACCACCAAGTTAGTGTTATTTTCTCCCATACAGTTTAAAAAGATCAAGAGATACAGACAGCCAGTTGTACGCCAGGAATTAGGGATGAAAAAATACTTCATTGTTTATTTACAGAATTAGCAGAAGTAGGCAATCCAAAGTTTGATTTCTTTTTTTTTAGCATCAAGGCTTTGTGATAGAAATAGGGTAGATTCCATAATCAGATCAAGACTGAAGAAAACTAAATTGCTTTTCTTTTGGGATCAATTCAGGGCAGCTGGCAGACTTTGTTTTTCACAGAAATTCCTGTAGTCTCCTAAATTCTGCAGCTGGGCTTCCTCTATTACGTTCTGGTATTCAAATAGAAAATGCATTTCCAAGTATGCTTAGTGACTCATGGTTTTACACCACAAATTGTCTGAGGCAATTTAGTGCAAAAGGGGTGAGAACTTGACAATTATCTAAATAAACAATTGCAAAGTTTCCCAAAAGAGTGATTAAATCCTAATTTCAGTGTTTTTGCCCCGTCAGTCAGTATTGCAGCGGCAGTGTGGAGAGGAAGTAGTCGTTAGAGCAGTTAAGCCAGAGTTTCCATTTTAGAGAGCTGGTCCTGCCCAGAGCTGAGCACCTCCTGAAGTAATCTCTCCCGTTGCTGATACTCAGCTAGTTTCAATAAATAAAATACTCTTACTGGTTACAGTTCTGGGGACCCCAACTGCTCTCCGGTCTGTTTTGAATGCTGATGTAAAGAGTAAGTTCTGATGTCACATGCCACCTGTGCTGATGCTGAGAGATGCGTTAGATGTTAGTACGTGTGAAGTGTTAACTATGTGAAAATGAGATACGAGTGGCCAATTTCAGGTTAGCAAGATAGATGAGAACTTTCATGTCACGGTGTTAGGCTGCACAGAGTCATTTAGAGGAAACAGAAAAGGGAGAAAAAA